ACAATACAGCCTGAAAGATACATTTGAATTCATAGACTTGATTAAGGAGAAGAACATGGACGGAGTACGGATGGCTTCCTTGGATGTGATTTCATTGTTTACAAATGTGCCACTTTCGGAAACAATAACATACCTATGTGACTATATCCGAGAGAATGAGATCAATATTGGCATCCCAGTGGATAATTTAAGAGTTATTATTGCGTTGCACATACAACATCCAGTTTATCTTTAACGGAGAAATCTATCGTCAAACGGACGGTGTTGCCGGGGGATCACCACTTGGACCTCTATTAGCCGATATGTTTGTTTCCCAACTGAAAAATCGGATCTTACAAAACACAATAAGAAGCTTGGTATTCTACTGTCGTTATGTGGATCATATTTTCATATTGATCAAAAATCAGAGGCAAATGCCTTTAATAATGCCCACACCGCCATCAGTTTCATGTCCGAATTAGAATTGGGAGATGACTTTCACTTCCTTGATGTAAAACTCACAAGATGCCAGGGAAGAGTGATAAAACACTCTGTTTATCGCAAATCAACGTGGACTGGGCAATACTCTAATTTTGCCAGTTTTGTGCCTCTAAAGCTCAAGCGAAACCTAATCCAAACCCTTGCGTATCGAGCAAGGAGAATCTGCGCAGCAGACTGTTTGTCTCAGGAACTGGAAAGTATCAAGCAAACACTGTTTGACAACGGCTACCCGGAACGATTCGTTCTGAATAATATGACAGAACGGCCGCCAAGAGCCACCACTGATAACAGTGAAAAGAAAAGAACTCTTCATAAAACTGCCTTTTAAATGAGATTACAAATTTGAGTTACTGAGGCGCTGATTAGAAAAGGCTACCGCTCACACTTTCCCTGCTGCAACCCTACGCACTCAATTCACAAGCTGGCGACTGGTTTCCGTAAATCTTAAAGATACATTGCCTATACTGTCCTCATCTATGATCATTTACCACTTTCTTCGCTCATGTTCGGCAAGTTATGTAGGAAGAACGATCAGGCAATTGTCTCAAAGAATCAAGGAGCACAAAAAGGCTGAGTACGGGCAAAGGGAAAACGATTACAAGTGCAGTGGTAGAACACCTTGCAGACACGGGGCATCAAGTAAACGACGACGCTTTCAGGGTGATCTACAAAGCACCAGCAAATCCATCAAAAGATGTTTGTCAACGACACCTTGCTACAGCCGAGGCGGCGGCTATTTGCCTACTCAATCCGTCCCTTTGTTCTCAAAAACGATTTGTCCAGTCACTT